CAACAACAACAGCAACAACAACAGCAACAACAACAACAACAGCAACAACAACAGCAACAGCAACAACAACAACAACAACAACAGCAACAACAACAACAACAGCTACGACAGCTACAACAACAACAACAACAACGACAACAGGAACAAACCCAAACACCTCAGATGATCGTCATCTTACCCTGTCTTCTGCCTCATCAAAAGCACCCTGTAATATGCCATTGTCAAGCAACACCTTCTTGATGTACTGCGCGCTCAAGAACATACCCTGTAAGACAACGAAATGGTTAGAATAAGGATTGCAATATTTTAATAACCTAATCTGTATCTATAGAACGGTTTTGTAAAAACATAAACAAAGGTAATTGTTCATTTTAGAAACGAGAGGTTAATTAGGGAAAGTTTCGCTGTTCGAACGCTTTTCTGTTGGATTCTCGGTCTACCACTCTTTTTTAAAACAGGGATAGATTCATTTGAATTTAGGTTAATCTTCTCATCCGCAACCGTTAAACAAAGAAATGATACTCTAGGGAATGACACGTGTGAAATGAGACCTTTATCTTTGGCGCAATGTTTTCCCATTTCAGACCACGTATCGTTCTCTTGAGAATAAGATTCTTTGTATGAGTTGTATCCATATTCATGTGTCATCTCATGTACAACCGTTAAACAAAGAAATGATACTCTATGGAATAGCACGTTGTCTAAAATGGGACAATATTATACCCAAGGTGAAGAGGTGAAGAGGTGAAGAGGTGAAGAGGTGAAGAGGTGAAGAGGTGAAGAGTTGTGTTGCTAATGAGCCTTTTTCACGCGGCAGCCATGTTGGTTTGAGCAATAGATTCCACCCCACATAGCCTCACATACAAGTGCTTGAGAATAAATTCATGCAGGTTTTTATTCTCATGAGAATAAACATGGCCGCCGTGTGATAACGGGACTCAAACAAATATATCTTTAGATTACGGTTCCCATCAATGGGAATGACATGTGGTCTGAAATGCGACAACTTATCGCCCAAGATAAAGTGGCCTATTGGCAATGGACTACCATTAAACAAATATATCGTTAGAGTACGGTTCCTATGGCCCTTTACGTAACCTAGAGATTTCATTGACACTAGCCTAAAGAACTCTCCAGATTGGGTGCAGTGCTTTCCTATTTACAACAAAAACAGTTCTTTGCGAAGTATAAGCAAGACAGGCTACAAAAAATCCATAACTTTTCCATAGCCTAGTAGACCCAAAATTAATTTTCAAAAACTTTTAAGTTCATGGAAGAATCATGATCAATTCCCAAAACTTTCCAAGACTTTCCTAAACCCGTACAACCCTGGTAATTAAGTTAAAAAACTATCTAATGAGATGATTTGTAGTGTAAATAATCAAACCTTATGCGCCATGCCATCCTCTACGCCTTCCATATCAATCCTTTCTCCATGTCCTGTGAGGTCTGTCAACGTGTCCTATAAAGTTAGTAAATACGACGTTATTTGACTCCTATTGATGGTTTTCAACCATTCCCAAGAGAATCAAATAACAAAAGACACGGCGGCCATGTTGGAGGATACAACAAAAGAATTCATTGGCAATTCTTTTGTTAAGGTCCTCCAACATGGCCGCCGTGAAAACCATCAATACTACGAGAATCTCTAGTACACGTTCTTTTTTTTCAGTTAATTAGCACCAATGGACACTTTTCGAAATTATAGCGAGGCTAACATGAAAATACAAAAGTGCCACTTTTTCTCGATGGAATTTGAGGTATTTCTTTTACATCTCCATGACGTTTGCCTAGCATGCAAGATAATTTTGAGAACGTTCCATTACGGTTAGTATTTCATGTAAGACTACGTGAAGTGGCACTATTGGATCATTAATTATTTATTATTGATTATAACGTCCTGAAACCCTAATCCAAACCCTAACCCTAAACCCTAACCACAGGTAGCCCAAGCTTGGTTTCTGAGGTGTCATGTTATAAGGAAATGTATGGGGATTCTTCAAAAATTTCAATAAAATCATTGAAACGTGAAATAAAGCCTCGAAATTTTACCCGATCATTGAGAAATAGCACTTATTTCGCTCTGTGTGGTTATTTTTTGAATTTAGCCCGTTTTAAGGATTTTTTTCCCCACCAGTAAGAAACCATAACATGACACCACAGAAACCAAGCTTGGGCTACCTGTGCCCTAACCCCCAAAAAAACCTAACCTTAAACTTTATTACAGAATAGTGCCGTGTTATTCTCATGGGAAGAATAATTATGTGCCACTAATACATACCCTCATTGAAAGGGTTCCTCTTATCGATATCACCACAGCTTTGGCCTTGTCATCTATTGCAACGTAAAAGGGTATTTCATATAGCTGAAGAAAAAGAAAAAGATTCAGTATAAAACGTTTTCTGTCTGATTAGCTGTGAAAATGGGTTACTGTATTCCAGCGCAACAAAAGTAGACTGTAGTGGCCCTGTAAGCTTAGTAAGGGCAAGTGTTTTGGGATTCCTGTGGGCGCGCGTAGATTGGAGCCAAGTAAGTGGGGAGAAGGAATAGGAAAAGTAGAGTCTCTGTGCGCATCCACAGGAATCTCAAATTCCTCATTTTTACTGAGTCTGGAGGGAAAGTGGGACTGCTTGCAGTCTACAACAAAAGTGCAAAGGCTGATTGCAAAGATTTGGACTAACTTTGTTGTGATAGGTGCAGTAGATCAGGTCACTTTCAGGCAAGGATGACTGAAGGTGGATAGCAGCTGAATTACACATGCAGCAGTTATCATTGATAATATGTTTCGCCCTTGGTCCCAAACAAGAAAGCCACCTATAAACAATATAGAAACAAGAGTATCAATACGAAGATTACATTCAGTATTATTATTAATATTTATCTCACTGCAGGGGCCGCAGAGCACCCTAATAAGTGAAGGGGGGGGGGGGGGGGGCTAATATTGGAAAATATATGAGACTAATACATTATAAATACATTATGAGAGAGACTGACATTATAAATAGATCGATGGGCGGCGATCGCTGAAGTCAATATATGTTAACTAATTAATTGAACTATTCTATATTTTCATTGGCACCAATCCAATGTAAATATGTTTATACGGAGCCAATAAAATTTGTTGTCTTGTCTTGTCTAACATAGGAAAAAGGGGGGGGGGGGGCAATTTAAGAGACTAGTATGGATGGGAAAAGGGAAAACGTGTTCCAAGCACCAGTCAGCTGCCTAATTTTAATAATTGTCAAAAATTATTGAATGTGGTTGTAATTAATTTATTGATCAAGAGCTCAGCTGTTTAAATTTATCTGCCAGCTTGTGTAGATAGGACGTTAGCCTTGATCAGCTCAGTCTTGATCATTTATTGTGTTTGATTACCTGACTTTACTACAGAAATGGAACGTTCCACAGCATGGATTCATGAACACATACATCGGCCAGCCGTAGGAACCTAATGAATACTTCATGAAATGTGCTGCATCATCTATCAGCTTTTTCTGACTCTGTGGGAAGATGATTATACATTAGAAGTACAGCTTTATTGTAATTGACTACTTTGATGATACAGCGACCATCTATGGATCATAAGGCATTATGGAGCGACCAGGGGGCAAATAAAGCTTTGTTGCAGTAAATAAATAAATATCTTTTTTTATTTAAGTGCCTAGTCATTCTAGTGCTTTCTCATTAATTGGGGACACTTTTCACTCACATGCACTACCACTCCATTAAATATTCTATGCACACAACGCTCAGCTTACATGTTGATTTTTACGGAGGGAGGAAACCAGAGAACCTGGAGAAAACCCCTCGTGGCAAGGGAGAGAACAACACGTCAAACAAACTCAATTCACATGTGGTGAACGCAGGGCTCGAACCAGCGACCCGACCCGTTGGACTCATAGTGGTGAAAGACGACGTGAACACCACCCATGCTACCCAAACAACGTTGATTGATATAAAGCAGCTAACCAAAAGAGATTACAACAAGAGATGAATTAAGACGGCACATTGATCACCTTTACCCATAAAAGGAAGACAAACACTCGAAACTCTATGTATTCTCCATCACCTTTGTTTTGCTTGCACCCTGGCAAGATGGCGGCCGTATCGTCAAAGTAGTAAATTCAAAACAAACACATTCAAATGCTAGACTTTGAATATTTGGTATTTTTAACCCCTTTGACAACATTTTTGTAATTTGTTAAGTAAATATAACTAGCTGTTGCATATTGCAAGTAAAGTGCTGCGAGCAGGCAAGAAGTAGTACCTGTGTATTTATGGCAGCTTCAATTGTTTATCTAATGCCTGTCTGCAGGGATGTTGCAAGGTCTCGATTATAGGGAATCCCGCATGAATTAATTAATTTTGGTGTCAAAAGAAAAGGTTTTGGGGAGGGGGGGGGGGGCACATGCTAGTGCCTGTCTCTACAAGTGATTTATTTTATATCTTATAATAAAAATATAATTATTAGAAATAATATACTGGTAACAAAGTTAAAATCACTCACTGGATCTGATAGATCAACTGGTACCCCTTCAGAGCTAGTCTAGGAAAGAAAAAGACAAGCCATTAAGTAAATGCCCATGTGGTAACATTCACGTAATAACCATATAGCATACAGCTATTCAATAAAGGTTGGAGGCATGTTGCATATACCTGTATTGTGGTTTTCATGGCGGCCATGTTGGAGGAGCTTAACAAAAGAATTGTCAATAAATTATTTTGTTATATCCTCCAACATGGCCGCCATGTCTTTTGTTATTTAATTCTCTTGGGAATATTCAAAACATATGCAAAATTATAATAAAAATTTTTTGAATAAACTTCATGATGTAACATTTTCCACCAAAAACAATGAACAATACTGATATATTTTGATGATTCTTCAAACAGATTAGTCTTGTTTTCTTTAATTTTGAGTAAAAACTGTCGTTTATTGACCTGAAAACCTAGAAGTAGGAAATGTTGAGCTTTTAACAAAATGTTCTCTGATTGGCTCATGCGTTCTTGCTGAGAGAAGCAAAATCTCCTGGATTCACACTGCCTATGTAGTGCAGGATCTTGGTACTGAGGATTTGCAGCCTTTATAGGGAAACGTCCTCTTCCATGAAGACCCCTGGCTGCTTTTGCACAACTCGTAAATATAAACATAAATAAACATTGTCATTGCCAAAGGTGATGAGGCAATAGGCGAAAAGCGATAGGAGAATTCAAGAATAGCTTGAATGACTCAGTGTTTCCGCTTCTTATTCTCATCAAGAACATAGATCTTAGTGTTGAGACTGATTCAATGTTCTTTGTATAGTCCTCTTGCATGTGTTGTCAAAGCAGCTCAATTTGGAAACAAATCTCATGAGAAATGGAAACCTATTGTTATGTCCTCCAAATGAAGCTGCATTCTGACGTGTTGCAAAGGGTCTATTCAACGAAACCACTTCCATGTCGGAATGACCTATTGCCTATCACCTTTGGTGATGACAACGCTTATTGAAATAGGTACCCGTATATACATCTGTAATCAACGAATACCAGTGCTGTCAACACCCAAAGATATTCAAATCTGGAGAATTGATAGGGAAGGGACATGACGTCACAGCGGAAAAGAGCGTGCGAAAAGACGTCATTCACTTTGTAACATTTGATTGGTTTATTTCTGACCAATCAGATTATCGCTTACATTACAATGGCCTGCTTGCAATAACAGTTTATTAGGAATGTTTTGATTTTGTTAGCGATGTAAAATAACACAAACAACACAAAATAATTGGAATTTTATGGTTGTGAATGTCGACTCTCACAAGAAATGGTCAGCTTTGGCGATTATCCGGGAGATTTGAGACTCTAATCTGGAGACCGGGAGATATGGGCCAAAATCTGGAGACTCCCGGTTTATCTGGGAGAGTTGACAGCCCTGGAATACAGAGTATAGTGAAATAAAATAGGGCCTATATTTAGATGAGAATACCTGGCCATCTTGTATTTTTTGTCTCTCTTCTTCTTCTTGCTGCTCTTGTAGCAGTATTAACCCTGCAGCAACATCAGAAGGAACAGCATCTATTCCATGCAGCTCTGATGCAAACATGCCAGCGATATCAGAAATGGCATCCCTGTAGTCCTCGTCACAACTAGCAAAACAGCAACACAGTACCTTGCAACGACGCTCCCATATCTACAGGAAAAATGGTCAAGGAGCAGTGTCAAAACAAAGATTAAGAGAGGTCTGAAGTGATATACTTATTAGGTAGTAGTGCAAGAATCCTCGTACCGGTAACTACTCCCTCCCTCTCAGTCGACCTGTCAAAATGCTTACTAGTATATACAGTGATATAATGATATACTTATACTTATTAGGTAGTAGTGCAAGAATCCTCGTACTGGTAACTACTCCCTCCCTCTCAGTCGACCTGTCAAAATGCTTACTAGTATATACAGACGTTCCCTGATATTACAGTATGCTATAATTTGTGGACAAAATTGGCAAACAAATAATACTGAATTTAACAAGACAACAATGTCAGTAATGGCAGATATTAGAGTTGCTATTTTATTGCCTTCAAACAAGGTATTCATTTGTTCATGGCAATAAAATTCATAAAAACTGACTCAAATGCCTCCCCCCAAACACACTTTTTAGGGTGCTCAAAAGCCCCTGTACTATATATATGTATACATATATTTATATATACCTTGGTGGTTTTCTCCTGAAGAGCACGCCTATCTTCACCATGGTCAGTGATCTGAGTTGATCCCAGTGGATCAAAAAACACAACAACAACAACCAAGACTGTCAAAAATAAGCACCATTGAAGCACTACTGTGATTTTTACTGGTATCGTAAGACCATCCTCACATCCTTTGCTCTCATAAAAAGCCCAGTAGATACCAAGTGCAGATAGGCAAGTTTCTGGCACGTACAACGCTATTTGAATATACAGCAAGATTGGAATGTGCCGCCGTGGTCTGGTGTTAATTACACTCCCCCGCATACTCATCCAGATGATTGCAATCTCGTTTAATATGACGATAAATGTTAGGGCGATGACACCGATAAAGAATGATTGAAGAGCAAAGCTTGCAGTACATAACCTTATTTGGCTGTGATAGACACCGAATATAATGCATAACACAGTAACCCTGTAAGAATGAATTTATTAGTAATATAGTATTAGTTTGGATCGAATAGTATATGACACTAATTTTCATACTAGTAGATCTAAAGATGATTGCTAGTTTTAATATGGTTTTCATCAGTTAAATGAACATGATTGAGGTAAGGTGTGACCATTTAAAGGCCGACACAGTATACAATCATATATATGGCACATAGGTGTATTTAAGGCAAATGCTTACTTTTGAACGTTTGATTTGAGCCCACGATGTGTGCGCGCTCAAAAACCACTGAAAAATCTACAAGATTTTATTGAAGAACCATACATGTTTTTAGCATCAATTTTTCGACTTTATGAGATTTTTTAAGAGCACCCAAACTACAAAATATGACAAATCAATGTATCTATTTGTCTTTTTGTCGAAAATATCCACGTATTATTGTAGAATGACTATCATAGCCTTCATTCGTGCAATCATATAGTCTGCAAATAACTATTATCTTATGAATCTTAATTTTTTTCTAATCACTTCCGGTGGCGCAATTTTGCTCCAAAAGCTTGCGCGTAGGCTTCCATTAATTGCTGATTATCTCGAAAACAAGCTCTGGACACCCAAATTTCCTTTCCAGATTTGGAATCAGCATTAAATTTCACTTCTGAAAATCAAAGTTTTTTTTTAAAAAAAATAATTTTTCCAAAAGTAGGCAGTCACCTTAATAGATAGATTCAGAACGGGGATCTGTATACCAAGAAAGAGCCTAATTTTTAATCTGGAAACAGGCATAAATGCCAGTTAAAATTTTAAATTTAAATTTTGAAAAACCAGACATTTTAGCGGAGTTATGGGAGATCAAAGTGATCCAGATTTCTATGTATATTTTGTCATGTTTTCCATGATTCAAAATGGCGGATGAATAAAACGTATAACTGGTGGCAAATTATTTTTACCCACTTACCAGGCGATCCTTGCCATCAAACCTCCAGCGAACACGAACACCAAATCGTCACTTCCAATCTGCCAACGACGATTAAAAGCCACAAGGGCTGGCATTTTTAAACAAAAATAAACCTAAAGTTGAAGCATTCGGAGAAAAGGAAAGTTACAATGAGATGGCTTCATTCATTATTCTTCCAAATTTGACTTCAGTAATGGATTTATAACTTCAAACTTACTCAGCTTGCGAAGCAATATCTCTTCTTAGTGTCTAAATGCTGGAAGACGCCTACCATTTGCATTTAAAGTGCATTATTTCTGGATCAATGACATCAGTTTGAGTGAAATGTTCTTTTTACTCGCTCAGGAAAGAAACTCCAACAGGCGTTCCCAGACGAAGGGAAGGGTCTGGAACCACAGGGAACCCACCTTGAGGAAAAATAGAGAAATATAATACACGTGACCACATATATGTATGAAGAAAAAAAAATACAATGTATACACCGAATCGAAATATGGCGACCAATTTGAATAACTATTGTTCTGCACTGACTAGCGACTGACTAGCCTCGTGTTCACGTGGAAACATAAAAGCATTTTCACATGTATAGGAGGCTAGTCAGTCGCTAGTCAGTGCAGGACGATAGTTATTCAAATTGGTCGCCATATTTCGATTCGGTGTATGAAATATGAAAATTTGTACAGATTCTATCAGGGTTTTTTTGAAAAATACTCACTTGTGATTGACTAATTGATTTGAAAATTTGTCTGGGTGAATTTGAAAAAAAAAGCAAAGATGAATGAATTAAAAAAATCAATAATTGAAATATTTTAATGAATAATTATTGCTTTTTCCCCTTCTTCAGATTCTATTAAAATGAGTGGCTAAATGGACTTGAAAAAATATACTAATAGGATCCACTGTACTAAGGGCGATGGTTCACCGCGCCGACTACCATGACCTTGACCTCTTTACCCTCTCTCCCTTCCTTCTCCCCTGCATACGTACAGCTACTCTCTCCCAGTCTTCCCATATATCCATTTCTCTATTCAGTTATTTCCTTCCATTCAATCACTCAATTATTTGTTTGTTTAAATTTGGCTATTCATTCTTTCTTTTAGAACGGGGGTGGGGACGGAGGGCGGATCCAGGGGGGGCAAAGGGGGGCTGAAGCCCCCTTTCTGCAGAAAAAAAAGCCAAAAAAAATTTGAAGAATTAGATGCTTTTTTTAATTGTTTTCCGTTGTGTTGACGGAAGAAACTCAATTAGCCCCCCTCCCCCCCCCCCTAAAATTTTGGCTGTATCCGCCCTTGGGACGGAGGGGGGCACAGCCCGAGAAATTCACATGAACTATCATGAAAAGTCATCAACCCGGGTTTTCTTCAAACCTTCGGGGGTGAATATTATGATCCTGCCCACTGTTTGTCAGTCTTCTTAGGTTGCAGAACTTTGGATTAAATGAAAATACTGATGACCCTTCATTTTTGGCTGTGTAAAAAACTTGACTTGCCCTCTTCTTAATTTCTTCCGCCCTCTCCGTTCTGAAAAAAGCTTTTCGAGCCAATGTCGCACGCGTACGCGTTTCATCCAGCCAGTTTACCCTATACCATATAAGATCAAGCATTAAAAGAGAGAAGCTGGTTGAGTAAAGCCCATAGTGGGAAGCATTGCCTCTCACGTGACCCGAGTTCGATTTCCAGACTCGATGTCCGTGAGTCAAATTCCGTTTTCCGGTGTTCGTCCCATTTCGTCACATCAGATCAAGAGCCCCTCATTAATTACTGTGTGCAGCTCACCACAGGTAAATCATACATGTGGCCAATGATAGCTTTGTCTTTTATCAATATTCCTTTTTTTTTTTCGCATTTCTTTTCTCATCCAATCTCGAAGAAAACTTGTCCTGGGCTACCTGTGGTTATATAGGGTGATCATGCGCAGTTGACTAGGAGTAGTGGGATAAGGTCCTAGTAAATGATAACAGTTGTCTTACTTTATCGACGACTTTTCTTTATTTCCTTTAACCTGACAGATGACTCATTCCTAACATCCTGTTGACACGCAACTACAGATTATATTTCTCTCAAAATTGGACTCAAACTGTCCTGTTTAGGCTTTCTTTGTAAGCCTTTTTGTCAACTCTTTGATATAATGGCGTCCAACTCGCCAGGTAAGCGTCAAGTTGTTGTTTTTGTTTCACTGCTAAAAAAGTATCCTTTTTTTAAACACTTTACATATTTATTGAACCGTTGAAATACTCAACCAATAATCATAAAAGGATACAATTTAATAATCGTAGTATTTGTATTTATTTTGGGGTGTTTTTAGAGCTTAAATTTAGAAAATTCGAAGAGAGTTTAGAGAGTTGTTATATGTTAAACAGGAACGAAGATATCGAGAGAGCGACTAAAACTGGACTTTAAAGCCGGCATCGATAGGAAAAAAGTCACTCTTATAGTAAAACAACAAGAACCACAAGTACAAGATTTACCTTCTGTACACATGTAAGTAAATTGTGAACCATATTTTCAATTCATATTATAAAAATAAATCATTTTTACGGCTGGAAATATAAACTAAGCTTTAAGTTTCCTTAATTTCAATTTTGTTTCGATAAGTATTATTCCTCTTTGAATATAAAAATAATCGTTAATATAACATTTTTATCGTTTGGAAATTTAGTTTTTAGGATTGATCAGTTTTGCCTTTTTTAAATTATTGGAGAATATCGGGGTATATATATAAAATCAAAATGAAGTAAGATATATGCAAAAATTAAGCTTACTTTCATTCTAAAAATAGCCATGACAGTATATTTTAGCAGACCATGTGTGGATGCTGATAGCCATTTCATTTTTATTATAATCTATTTACTGTATTGCCTTACTAGGTACAGTAATATTTCCARTATAGACTATAAACATGACAAGCATAAAAAAGTTTTTAAAAATTTAAGATAAAAACTTGATATTAAATCAAAATTTGATCTAAGATAACACGAGTGAAGCCTTAAGATTTACAAAAAAAAAACTGTTTTTCTTTTCTATGAAGGTTTGATTTCAATAAGAGTCATGCTTAGTCTCTACCATACACCTAATGTATGTTATACATCATATACGGCATTTATATTTAATTAATATTCCTCGATAAGTAAAATTAACCTCTTAATTAAAATTAATTAGCACAGTTGGTTATCAGATTTTTGTGCGGGAAATAGGATTTAAAGTCTTGGACTGACCAACACTCAGGGTCTTAAAATAAGCGAGGAGAGAGAAAGTGCTACATTTGTTATTACATCTAAATATGGTTAGAATTTCAAGTGGCTCGGATGACCACTTTAGTTGTTCCATATCTCTCCACACTTCAGCATCACTATCCAATATCAGAGGGATTTAAAGGAATTGCCACTGAGGACGTGAATAAACCCTGGCAGTGACCATCCTTAGTGACTACACCTCATACTAACCACCTCTCATGATTGTTAACACCTTTGATTATATACACATAGAAAGAACACTATATAAATCATAAATTATTTTAGTAAAAATACACAAGTGATTATTGAAAATCTTGCACGCTGATTGGTTAAGAAACTCACAGTATCACACGATAATATGACCTCCAGCGACAATTAATCCAAAATGGCGGCCAGCCGCTTTGTTGCTGTTACCGGAAAAAATGTCTTTTATCTTTTTTTTTCTTTTTTTGAAAGAATCTGCACCTGTGTATTTATACTAAAACAATTATTTGCCTCAGCCTCAGTGAATATCGGAGAATATTTGCCTCACCGCTCGAAGACTTACGTCTCAGTAAATATTCCCCGATATTCACTGAGGCTGAGGCAAATAACTGTTAAATAAATCATCATTATTATTTTATATTGGTTAGGGAAAGACTGAAAGCTCATAAAGCAGTTGGGAAACTCACTTTTGGATCTGACAGTGTAAGTCTGTTAACTTTTTAGTAGAGGTTTTGCACCATCATGTGATGGCAGCCATGTTAGATGGCAGGAACAATATGATGGTTTTACATAAGAAAGAATTCAATTCCTAAGAGCAAAGGGATTTTAATTATTGTTCTGCCATCTAACCACAGGCAGCCCAAGCTGGGCGTGGGTATGTGATGGTGCAAAACCTCTCTATCAAGTTATCATTAATTGGTATGGTTCTTGGCTTTCTAGCTAGCTAGGTTGGTACATAGGTGTAATGGTGCTTGCTGTAAGCCAAAAACTTGATAATTTTCAGTATAATATAAGAGGGCCCTGAAGGGGTAAAATCAGGTGGGATTTGCCTTATTTGGGCTAGGAAATTGCCAGGGATTTTATGGGAAGAAGATTGTTAAAAAAACAATAAAAAATGGGAATGGGGGGGGGGGGAGATTTGAGCAAAACAAGCTCTATATTTGATCCCTGGACACCCAACAATGCATTGTGATCCAAGATGGCTGCCGTATCGTCAAAGTAGATAGGAGTTCCTTCAAGTTTTGAGTCATGTACTAACAGTGTGTTTTATTTCAATGTTATTGGTATTAGGTATATGAATACACTGCCGATGACCTTGTGGATTATGGGGAGATTGGTCGAGGTGCTTATGGTACTGTTAACAAGATGTTTCACCCTGACAGCAACACGTTCATGGCTGTTAAGGTATGTGTTGGAATTTTTAATCATAATGATGGTGATGATGATGATGGTGATGATGATGATGGTGATGATGATGATGGTGATGATGATGATGATGATGATGGTAATGATGGTGATGATGATGATGATGTGGTGGTGTAATTATACTGTATACAGTAAATGATTATAATGATGATGATGATGGGGATGATTGTGGTGATAAAAATCATGATGTTAATGGTGATAATGATGATGAAGACAATGGTGATATATATGTTGATGATGATAATGTTGGTGATGATAATGTTGGTGATGATGATGTTGGTAATGATGATAATGATGATAATATTTTTCTTATTATCATGGTGCAAATTTGCATGTAGAAATAATCAAATAAGATAACTAACCTGTCTTTATTATCACCCTTTATTACGATAATGGATTTTTTGCTTTGTCTTTTCAATGTGCAGAGGATACGCTCCACCGTTGACCAGAAAGACCAGAAGCAGTTACTAATGGACCTCGATGTTGTGATGCGCAGTAGTAAATGTCCCTTAATTGTGAAGTTTTATGGTGCACTCTTCACTGAGGTGAGTAAGCCGTTTTACAGAGCATCTGATGGAGTGCAAGAGTTCTATTCAACACTATTGACCTAAAATTGCAATTTGTTTTTTTCTGTACAATTTTTGAAAAAATACTCAGTGTAAATCACCATATTCATCATCATAACCATTCATCATCACCATCATCATCTTCATCTTCATCATCATCGCAATCATCACCATCATCTTCATCATCATCATCATCTTCATCATCATCACCATCATTATCATCATTATCACCATCATCAACATCATCATAATCATCTTCATCATCATCGCAATCACCACCATCATCTTCATCATCATCATCATCTTCATCATCATCGCAATCATCACCATCTTCATTATCATCATCATCAACATCATTATCATCATCATCGACATCATCATCTTCATCATCATCTCAATCACCACCATATCATCATCACCACCATCATCATTATCATCATCATCATCATCATCAAAAATAGACACAAATAAAAAATAGAAATTGCTCTAATAAATTAGCCTGTGCCCCCACCAATCAGAAAGGGAGATTGATCCATAAATTACAGATTATACTGTATCATATAAATGTATGATTTTATTATTTATAAATTGATGCAATGTTGTCTTATAAAGGGTGATGCATGGATATGTATGGAGTTGATGGAGATCTCATTTGATAAGTGCTACAGAATAGTTTATGGTTATCTGCATCAAACCATACCTGAAGATATACTAGGCAAGGTTGCATTAGCGGTAAGTACCTAGACAGTATACTCATTATCTAGCTACAATACGGTAATCATATACGTATTAGGCAAGGTTGCATTAGCGGTAAGTACATGTATCTAGACTATACTCATTTTCTAGCTACAATTAGCAGCCATACAGTACTGAGGATAAGGAAAAAGATTGTGTTGAGTTAGTATTGCAGTGCATTGTGGGGCTGTTTAAGGGGATGGTGTCTATTTCGTCCCCTAAAACAGGCCCAAAATGCACTGAAATACCGATTTAACCATGTTTTTTTCCTCGACCTCTTTAAAATGGCTAATACATGCACCTTTACGGTAATCATGTACTTTATGCCCTGCGGACACTGGGATACCTGTGTTACACATTAGATGGTTATTACATAGTGTAATCATTGGACTCTTTTTTCTCGTAGGTTGTCAAAGCTCTAGATTATTTGAAAACAGAGTTGAATATTATTCACAGAGGTAAGTTGAATGATACATATTATGTGGACATTGGAATATGGCACTGTATTAACTCCAATATCCACTAGCTCATTATCATATCACATGAGAAATAAATGATACATGAGACAGTACAGGCCAGAAGTTTTTCAGGGTGCCCATGCACAGATCAAACCCTGATACAACCTCTGGGCTGATCTAAGTCAGGGCATGGCTAACTCACAGATCAAACCCTGAAACAACCTCTGGGCTGATCTAAGTCAGGGTATGGCTAACTCACAGATCAAACCCTGAAAC